GAGAGAGAGAGAGAGAGAGAGAAGAGAGAGAGAGAGAGAGAGATCTCTGATCTGGGGTCTAAATTTGCCCATCTATAATCAATCAGTTATTATTATTGCATTCTCAACAAATTGAGCTTCTTCTTCTTCTTCTTCTTCTTCTTCACCGGTGCACACAGCAGTCCAAGCGAAGAGGGAGGCGGGCAGTTAGTCGGTGGATGAGTGGGGTTTCGTTTCTCTTTTTCTCTTTGATTTATTGGTGCAGTAGGTCAAGTTGGAGTTGCATCCACGCGCCACTCGATTGGAGGCTTCAATGGGCAAGCGTGGCTCTCTTGTGGGACGGTGACGCGCGACTCGGTTGGATGGGGAGATAGGGCTCTTCTTGGAAGCCCCGACTATATTTTATCTGCTAGAGGAATGGCTTACCATTATAATGGATTCATTCTCTCGTAGATTATTATTTGATAAAGATCGACGTCATAATCGACTACCTACTATCGTCCATGGTCTCACTGGATTAATTGGTGGGATCAACATACGCTTTAAGCAATCTAGACCTAAATCCATGGCCGCTAAACTACGGAGAAAGAAGACAAAAGGTCCGTTGAAGTATGACTACAGAGAGAAATCGGCGTGGTTCGAGGGGGAGGGAGGGATAAAAGGACAGATCGTCATAGGACAGAAGCAAGTGATACAGCGTTCCTTCGGGTTGGGGAAATCAAAGTGTCACGTGATGGGATCGACAGATAAGGACGCCATCTCTCTCTCTCTCTCTCTCTCTCTCTCTCTCTCTCTGTCTTCTCTCTCTAAACTGGCCTCGCCGCCTTCTTCTAACCAGCCTTCTTTCTACCTCTCCTTTTAGCCTCTATTTATGCTGCTGCTCTACGACCCTCTTCTTTGGAATCAGAAAGACCAGCAGAAACACCGAGAAGAGGAAGCTCCTGTCGTTTATAATGGCGATCGATCAGGAGCCCCCCTTCCAAGACCTCAATGTCAAGAACAGACGAGCCATGGTGATGTTTCTTTCTTCTAAAGCTTGTTTTTTTCTGTTTGCCTCCTCTGGTTTTGCTTGAATTGAATGATTGTGGCTGTTGGTGTTCATTTTGGTGGATATGTCAACAGGGAGATGGAGGACCGGAGGATGACAGCCGCTGGCCTCGGTGGCTGCGGCCGCTGCTGACGACGAGGTTCTTCGGCCACTGCAACCTCCACGGAGATTCCCCCAAGAGCGAGTGTAACAGGTACTGTCTCGATTGCACCAACGGCGCCCTCTGCTCGCACTGCCTCGCCTACCACTGCGACCATCGCACCATCCAGGTCCGTCTCTTCTCCCCCTCTTCCGCTCTTCTTCGCTGCCTCGCCTGCCACCGCCAGCTTTTCTAGTCCGTCTCCAGTGGTTCCATCTCCCTCCCGCCATGTATACGGCCTTCCGATGGTTGGGATCGGCTGCCCTGTTCCTTCCCGCCACAAAGGTGGCACCTTTTGGGGATTTCCACGCTTCTTCCAGCCACGGATCCGACCTCTGGTTGGATAAAAGGCGGCGGCTTCGATCCCTCCGATGAGATGACCGCTTCTGGTTGACGGTGCAGATACGTCGATCATCCTACCACGACGTGATCAGAGTGTCCGAGATCCAGAAGGTGTTGGACATTACCGGCGTGCAGACGTACATCATCAACAGCGCCCGCGTGGTGTTCCTCAACGAGCGTCCCCAGCTGAGGCCCTGCAAGGGCGTCACCAACACCTGCAGTGTCTGCGAGCGCAGACTCCTCGACTCTTTCCGCTTCTGTTCCCTCGGCTGCAAGGTCTGCTTCCTCATCGATTCCGTCGATTTCCGTTGGTTTTCGTGTCTTTCCGACTCGGTCACGGGATGTTGCGAGCAACCGTTTGTGGGAATGCTGGTTCAGATCGCCGGCACCCGCAACGGCCGCGGCGAGAAGAAGTCGACGAACAAGAACGAAATGGCGGCGGCATCGGACTCGGAGGAGTCCCACACTAGCTCCAGCCACGTGACGCAGAGCTTCAGTCCCTCTACCCCGCCGCCGGCCGTCGTGAGCTACCGGAGCTCAAAGAGCAGGAAGGGCATTCCCCGCAGGGCTCCCTTTGGAAGCGTCCTAATGGAGTTGTAGGCCATGCATCTCTCGTGTTACCACCAGCAGTTACCACCAATAATACACAGCAGAAGGCTATCCATTCACGTAGTTAGTCTCGTGTGAGCAGCTCACGGTGACTAGATTCTGAAAGAGGTATGCTACGAGGATGCATGTCAGAACCTGCAACTTTTCGTGGTGAAGCGGAGTAAGAATGGACCTGCATCGCATCCTAATCGAAGAAAAGGGTAAACTGCTGAAGCTTTAGATTAGATAGTCGGCTGCGGTTGCTGCAGTACATGGTTGTGATGGTTGGTTAGGAGGGAGAAGGATGGATTGATGAAGGGGGGAAATGGGTGTGTGTCCAGGATAGGAATGTGGAATAAATTGCAGAGCTTGTCTGCTTCTTGGTGTGTGTGCAGTTGGTTCGTTGGTGGTGGCATCGTCTTTTCTTTATGCAACGACAGCAACCGAGAGAAGGTCGATCATCATCATCATCATCATGATTCTTTTGCCGGAATGTTTTTGCTCCACGACGATCGATTCTAAACTGTCGGGTGAATCACGAGAGGCCCGGCTATTATGTATCCCCCTCGTGTCGTGTGCTGCCTTCGTCCCACATTTGCCTTTTCCAACCCATCATCTCTCTTCTCTCTCTCTCTCTCTCTCTCTCTGACCACCCCAATGGGTCTGTTATTAATATCATATGATTGATGTTTCCTAATATGTCCTCGAAATATAATGAGGGAAGAAAAAAAAACACAAATAACAGAGGCACTCTTTCTTTACACGTCACTCCCACCCTCGTCACACATGGCAAAAGGTTCTACCTAATTTCTATTCCTATGTAGAGGAGGATAGTGGACACCATCGGCCGAGTGGTGTGGCCAACTTGGTTGCAGTCCATTAAAAGTATATTTTGGAAGATCTCCGTTAAGTGGTGTGGCCAACTTGGTTGCAGTTCATTATCAGCGATCAACTGGAGCTTGATCGATCCATTAAGGTGCAGGTACGGATCAGCTGGAGCAGCCTCACCCAGATGTCTCGACGACTTTGGAACGCTTGATATGTCTATTGGGAAAAAAATCTATTAAAGTAAAATATTCTTTTCTCTCTTTGTATCAAAATGAGTTTCTCAGTAAAATACCAACTTGGTATTCAAATATAAATATTACAGCATAAACAATAGAACAAATAATCAATCACAAAGTGAGACCGAATCTTTTAATGTGAAAAATCAAAAACCACGGGACCGTAGTCCACCTCAAATTTTCACTATCAATAACATATCTTCATCACATACGATGGATCTTCTCATAAGAGAATTCTAGGTCTCACAAAGTGGGTATAATAGGAAAGTACCTCAGAGAGGGTAAAATATAGATCAACACCGTTAGGATTATAGAGCTTACTGCAAGGATTCTTCGTATAAAATTTGGACCAAAACTGACAACGTTTGACCACCGATCGTCAAGCAAAAATCTTACTTTCTCTCTCTCTCTTTCTCTCTCCTCTTTTCTCTACACGTCGTCGCACACATTCATTGCACACATTCTCGCTACACCAAACCCTTCCTCTTGTTTTCTGCCTTCAATTAATGATTTAGGCTCAATAAGCTCAATTGTCCAAGCCCACATACGGGCTGGACCCAACAATTCTCCCCCTCCAGCTCATATGATGGGCTGTACCAAGCCCGCTCTTTGCCTACATGCTTCAAGCTTCTCTTTAGGCAAAGACTTTGTCAACATATCTGAACCATTCTCGTTGGTATGCGCTTTTTTCAACTGTAATTCTTTCAACTCAAGCACATCACGAATCTAGTGATATCTCGCATTAATATGCTTGGATCTAGAATGATATATTAAATTCTTGAAGAAGTGAATGACATTCTGACTGTCACAGTAAACAGTATATCCTTCCTGTTTCAAGCTCAATTCCTGTAGAAACTTTTTCATCCATAAAACTTCCTTGCAGGCTTCAGTAATTACTATGTATTCTGCTTCTATGGTTGATAGAGCAACACAATTCTATAACTTTGATTGCTAAGAGACTGCTCCCCCTGCAAATGTCATCAAGAACCCCGAAGTAGACTTCTTGGAATCAGTATCACCTGCCATGTCTGCATCTGTGTAACCTTCTAACACAGGTTCATCACTGTCAAAACATAAACACAACCTAGAAGTACCTCTTAGATTTCTTAATATCCATTTCACTGCTGTCCAATGTTCCTTTCTAGGATTTGAGAGAAATCGACTGACAACTCCAACTGCATGAGCTATATCTAGCCTAGTACAAACCCATAACATATATCAAACAGTCTACTGCAGATGAGTAAGGCACTCTGGATATTTCTTCTTTTTCTTTCTCACTTATAGGACATTGTTTCGAACTAAGCTTGAAATGACCTGCAAGTGGAGAACAAACTGCTTTGGCTTTACTCATGTTGAATCTTTTAAGAACCTTTTCAGTGTAAGTCTCTTGAGATAGCCAAATCTTCTTTTTATTCCTATCACGAAGAATCTTCATGTCAAGTATTTGTTTTGCCGATCCCAAGTCTTTCATGGCAAAAGACTTACTTAGCTTTCTTTTAAGCTTTCCAATTTTTCTAACATCATGGCCAACAATCAGCATATCATTAACATATAGTAGTAAAATAATAAAATCATCATCTGAAATTTTTTTCATAAACACATAATGATCAGTTGTGGTTCTATCATACCCTTGGCTCATCATAAAGGAATCAAACTTCATATACCATTGCCTAGGTGCCTGTTTGAATCCATATAAGCTTTTCCTAAGCTTACACACCAGGTTTTCTTTTTCATTGACTTTGAAACCTTCTGGTTGCTCCATGTAAATTTCTTCTTCTAAGTCACCATGAAGAAATACTATTTTTATATCAAGTTGCTCAAACTTCTAAATTCAAGCTGGTAGCTAAACCAAGAACAACTCGGATAGAGGACATTTTCACAACTGGAGAAAGTATTTCTTCAAAGTCAATACCTTTCTTCTGACTGAATCTTTTCACAACTAGTCGTGCCTTGTATCTTTGTTATGAGCTATTATTTTCGGTCTTCAATTTATAAACCCACTTTTTCTTGAGAGCTTTCTTCTCTTTAGGCAATTTTACCAAGTCATAGGTGTGGTTCTCAAGCAAGGATCTCATCTCTTCTTGCATGGCTTTAATCCACTCATTCTTATTCTCATGTAGAATAGCTTCTTGGTAAGTTTTTGGCTCTCTCCCGTCAGTAAGCATAACATACTCACGTGGAGGATATCTGGTAGATGGTTGTCGCTCTCTAGGGGATCTTCTCAATGGAATCTCAACTGGTGGTGGAGGTGCTGGTTCAGTTGGTTCAGCATCATCAATTGTAGGTGTATCATCACTAGTATTCTCACCACAATCTTCTTGTTCATCTCCCCTATGATTATTATGAATTACAGGTGAAGGAACTGGACTCAAACTCCAAGGAATATAAACAGAGGTTTCTGGCTTCTTAATATTATCACCATCATCAAAGAATTAGTCTTCAAAGAACATAACATCTCTGTTTATAATAATCTTTTTATTCACTGGATCCCATAATCTATACCCAAACTCTTCATGACCATATCCTAAGAAGATACATGCTTTTGCTTTGCTATCAAGCTTGGGCCTCTCATATTTGGGAATATGAACAAATGCTTTACACCCAAAGACTCTTAAGTGATTATAAGATATATCTTTTCCTCTTCATACTCTCTCTGGAACATCACTTTTAAGAGGAACTGATGGAGAAAGATTTATCAGATCAACTGTAGTTCTCATAGCCTCCCCCAAAATGACTTTGGTAATTTGGCGTGAGAAAGCATACACCTAATCATTTCTTCAATGGTTTTGTTCATCCTTTCTGTCACATCGTTCTATTGAGGAGTTTTAGGAATTGTTTTCTCAAGCCTGATACCATGAAACCTGCAATAATTCTCAAAAGGACCCATGTACTCGCCACCATTATCTGATCGAATACACTTTAGTTTTTTGCCAGTTTCTCTTTCAACACTGACATGAAACTCCTTGAAAATATCGAGTACTTGGTCTTTAGATTTCAAAGCAAAAGCCCACACTTTTCTAAAATGGTCATCAATAAAAGTAACAAAATAGAGAGCACCTCTATGAGTTCTAGTTTGTATAGTACAAACATCAGTATGAACTAAATCAATAACATCTGATCTTCTAGATGATGGATATGTATGAAATGTAACTATATGTATTTTTCCAACTAAGCAATGATCACAAGATTTAAGAGATGCACCTTGCAACTCTGGTAAGAATTGCTTTCTAGCGAGAGTTTGAAGTCCCTTCTCGCTGATATGTCCAAGCCTTTTATGCCAAAGATCTATACTTTCACCTTTTTGAATTATATTAATCTCTCCTTTGAGTAGCTTAGCTTCCATGACATAAAAAGAGTTAAGTTTCTTTCCTCTTGCCACAATCAGAGAACCTTTAGTGAGTTTCCATTTGCTTTCATCAAAATAATATGCAAAGTCCTCATCATCAAGTCTACCAGTAGACATCAAGTTAAGACGAATATCTGGAACATGCCTTACATCTTTGAGTATCAATTTGCTCCCAATACTAGTCTCAAAGCAAATATCTCCAATACCTATAATCTTAGATGTACCACTATTTTCCATTCTGACATTACCAAAATCACCAGCAATGTAAGATCTAAAGAAATCACTATAAGAAGCAACATGAAATGAAGTACCAGAGTCAATTACCCAATTACTATCCTGAGCTACAAGACTAACACAACCTTTATTACAGACAATAGTGATATCACCTTCAGTAGCAACTGTATTGGTCTCTTTCTCATTTTTCTTCATTTCATTCTGTTCTCGCTTCCAAAACCTACACTCTTTCTTCATGTGACCTAGCCTGTTACAGTGAAAACATTTGATATCTCTTCTAGACTTGGATCTTCCTCTATAACCATGTGGATTTCTGCTATATGACTTCTTCTACGTCTTTCTTGTTTTTCAGTAACAAATGCCCCAGAAGAAGATTCACCCTGTTTTTTCCTTCTAGCATCTTCATTTAGCAAACTGTCTTTAACCATATCTATAGTTAGAGTTCCCTCTAGCATGGAGTTGCAAATAGTCACAACATACGTTTCCCAACTTTCTGGTAAAGAGCTGAGAAGTAATAATCCTTGCATCTCATCATCTATATTCATTTTCATAGCAATCAACTTGTTTGGAAGACTCTGAAATAGGCTTATATGCTCAACAATGTTATCACCATCTTTATATTTCAAATTTACAAGTCTTATGAGGAGAGAAATTATATTTCCCATTGTCTTTTTCGCAAAGAGGTTTTCTAACCTTTGCCAAACAACATCAGCTCTGGTTTCATCAGAAATA